TATATATATATATGCATTGTTGAGTAAATGAAAGAATGTTTCCATGAAAGCGTAATAAAGAAGTTACTCTAAAATAAATGCGCACCGTTGGGAAGTGTTGTGAATATGTGTGTGCAAAAACGCACGTTCGCTAAATGATATGGATGTAAGTGTATTCTATGCCACTGATCTACCATCAGCTTTTGTGTTTTACATACGACGCAATCAGTGCACTAGACAAGCTGACAGCCTGATTGATGACAATAACGCCGAAACAAGCATTGGAACCGACTTTATATTGCTGATTTAAGCGTATAATCTGCTTCTGTTCATCTGTCGCCATTTAGAAGTTTCTTTTTAATGAACCAAAACGAAAACGAAAAATTATGCCATTCTTCCGCGTAACAAATTAAGTATGAATAACTCTCCCAAGTTTGTTGTGAGCACATTGTTTCTCATAACCCCAAAATATCTTCATTTGAGAGTTACCTACGAACGATTGTTTCGTAATCATGAAGATTATCGAGTATAATTATGAGAAAAATCATTCATTTTGAATGATCGCTTGCTTGAATCGCCAGTTGATTTTCATATACCAATTTCACACTTCAAAGAGTTATATGACAGCTTTATTCGTCACTAATAAATGCATCATACACTTTGAGTATCGATGATAGAGTATTCGATTTGTTCAGCAGGAGCGTATAAATACTCAGTGAATAAATCTCTCCTCATTAAATCACATCATGCGTGAATTTAGACGCATGAATTACGAATGAGATAAGCTTAAGCCATTGACAGATACGTTGAAAATTACGATTATATTGTGCCATAATGTATCAACAACAGTCATTCTAAGTATTCTTTCCAACATCATTTAATATGATCATTTTCTTCGTTGACTGCAATCAATAATCACCACACTCCTTTGTGTAATAATTTTGCTTTGATTCAAGCCTTTAGACTTCACTGGAAAATCTTGAACAGTTTTGCCACCTGTGTTTATTTGTATTGCAGTTTGATATAGAGCAAACGTACAAAATTCCTCTCCTGTTTTGCAGTCTCACTCTGAAGAGTGAAACTCGAGCTGTGATGTTTGCATCTGTTAAAATTCAAAATTGATGATTTCTGACTGAGCAAAGCAGCGTATTGTAATACGAAAATTTGGACGTAATTTTTGCTGTATGCTTGTGAATGAGTATGATTGGGCCAGTCTCATCTATGGAGAATGCACTAGTAGATGTTCCAGATTATCGTACTAGTAGTGTGTGAAGTACATCATTGATGAATGCAAACATAACGAAGCAGCAATAAAATGCCGTGAAATTACTGAATGAATGCATTAGAAATCGAGCAATACTCGTTCACGGTCGTTAGCACGCATTCAGTATGATTTCTAGTAGTGTTGGCTTCCGAAATATGAATATAAATGAATATGTATACCATATTTCGTCGAATGAATACGCTTGGAATGTAACTTTTCCAAACATTTGGAGAAGGGGATTTTGCAAAAGATAGGATGGATTTATCAAGGAAGTAGAGTACCGTTTGCATAAATTTATGTGTATATATCATTCGTTTATATGTGGATATGTCAATAACAGTGACAACAGTGGTAGTGATAACTGTTTGATTAGAATGATACTTATTACTGTCAGTGCTATAAATACGCACGAAAATATTAAAATATTGACCGAGTACATTATGACCAGCAGTCGAGTTCGATAAAATGCATTATGGAGTTGTTTTCAGCTGGAAAGTGTTATGGTAGTTGGTGAGATGAAACATCGACTGTATATTTCTGAACCAGGTGGCGCATTTGCAGTGGAGTGCGATTGTGCGAAAACGCTTCGTTCATTGCTGATAAACCTTTTGACCATATCGTCGTACCTTATATCCAACTCAAACAACTTACCGAATGCGGCACATTATTTGCAAAGACAAATTACCAAACTGAATGAAAAAATTGCATCGGTACGATTCATTTTTGTGGTAAAATCATTTCTTTAGACGATCTGTATGGTCAGTGATGATAAGTATGATCATGAATTATGCGTTTCAGTTGATGCGTTCACTGACTGCACTTCAGCCGGAATGTGAATTGGCACGCGATCTGAACGAAGAGCTGGAAATGGCTCATCTACGCTTATTCGCTCTCAAATATCGACTTGCTGCCATTTGCGATGTTTCCTTTCCAACACCTTCAGTTAGTTTACGCTCTCAATGCCCACAGTTGATTAAAATTTCAAGGAAAATGTGTCTGTGTTTTAAAGTTTTTTGATCACATCCTATCAAATGAATTGGTCACTCAATGAACTGGGTGGAACATTCTTCAAAACTCATTCCGATGGTTCTAAGGCAAGTAGCCCCGGGTTAGCTGCCCCTGATAATTACCAGCGGGGACAGCTACCCCTCAAACAATTACCCCCTTACGACTATCCTCGACAATCTGTCTCAAACTAATTACGATAGAGAACTTCTCTTCACGCTTTGCAACAGCCCTACCTGAGCTTTTACTTCGGCTTCGTGACGAACCTCAGCCTAAGTCTAAGCATTGATCTCAGCCTTATTCTAAGCATCAATCTTAGCCTAAGTCGAAGCATCAACCTAAGTCTGATTTTAAGCCTAGCCTAACCTTGAGAATAAGAATATTAATAGTAAGAATATAATGAACAATAGTAATAATAACTGCTGTACTGTTAGCGATGGTCGAAAAAAAAGCTTGTGTTCGTAAAGATGAATATCGAATAGGCAAATTGTCGGGAGGCAGTTATCAAGGGACAGTTGTCCTCGGGGTTAATTTTCGGGGGCAGTTATCGTCGGGCTCAATTGTTAGGAGCAGTTGTAAGTCAATGAAGCATGATGCAGCGAATAGCCTTCAATGCATTTCGCTGCCATTTAACGACGCACAGTCATGGAAAAAATGGAGGATAAATTAGCATACAAAACTGCTAAAAATGAGTGGCCAAAGTGTGCTTAATGGTGATAAATGCAAACAGTTCAGTATTTTAGCTTCAAGATGTTGCTCTGAATATTGTTTGTGCAAAATTTTTAACGTTACAAACGCTGAATTACGTTTAAGGAACTGTTGAGCAAGATTTCGTTACGCACTCTTCGACATCTCAGTTCGTTCAGTGGTGCTGCAGTTTGCTCACTTCATTTGCATTTCCTCTGCAAATCACGTTTTCAAATGTTGGTTTCCGTTTGTTGTTATTGCGTTTGTTTGTTGCGAATCGCCTGTCAGTGTGACAGTTATCCCCCAAATGTTGCTCGCTAGCAGATAAAACTTTCTCATAGACTTATAATCGTTGTTTATTTTTCAAACTTACCATCACAACTCATATTGCGTTAATAATTCTTAAGCAATTTAGTTGATGTTTAATTACTAAATTCCTAAATAGTAATTTGGTTTTTGGAAATGAACTGAACGCTGTTTCGAACCGACGATTTGACTACCACTCGTTTTGTGTCGTGATTAATGCTCATTTGCGCGAAGTTTTATTGATATCGGTTTCATCCAGCTGATCTTGATTTTCATTGTTGTACAAAACATTCATGTCTAATATTATCCGCATGATCAACACTTATTTCAATCATCACAGTTTCATTTATTCCGGCTTCGTTAGCATTCTTAATGCTTGTTTGGATATAATTTCCATCATCCTGAGTCTCGTACGTATTTGAGTAAAATTTGTTGCCCTACTAGTCTATTCGATTGCATGCTGCAGAAAAATTTTCTGCTTTTTTCAATATACAATTGTCTGCTGCAGAACTATTTTCCTCGTCCTGTTATAGAGCAATGTCTGTCTTAAAGCCGACGCTTTAAGTTGATTGAAAATACAAAATCTGGTGAGAATCGATCAGAGTTGTTTATAGATACTAAATAAGAAATGTGCAGACAGCAGTACTGAAAATTCAAAGAGCTAACCCTACGAATTTTATTCGATTTCTTAACTATTAGCTTGGATGATGAATATTAGTGATTTTCAAAGAACAGATGAGTATTTTAATAAATTTTAGAAGCTCAAAAAAATCGAATAAGAGAGGAAACAGAATATATAAGCTTCATGCGTTGTGATAGTAGGAATGCTGAAGGTTTATTCGATGTAACATTTGCAAAGGAAACAAACTGCAGCTAGCTAGATAGTTTGAGCAAATATGCGTTTATGCAAGGCAAATTGATTTGTTCAGTTGTTCTTCGAAGAATACAGGTGCAATTTACAGATGATGTGTTTGAGATGACTTGAAATGAAATATACATCATTCAATTCATCATTCACAATCGCTTCTCAAGATTCTTGCCCTTTTATATTTGATGCTAACATACTCTCATCTATTAGCCACATAGGAGCGGGACATCAGAATTTTTTGTTCTATTTTTTTGTTGTTAGGAGGATAAACGGCTTCCTCGGTTTGAAAGAATGTTGAAGCAATAGTGGAATTGCTTGAAGAAATTTAATTAGTGTCATCTGAATATTTTTACCGTACCGATGAACGCATCGCACTATCAGAAAATCATCAGTTAGTTTGCAATTACGAAACGGTAGTTGCGATTGAGTCGAACGGGATAAAACCAATTGAGTTATCAATGAAACTACATCGAAATCCATGGTTACTGTTTTTGTTGGATTCAAATGCCGTATTAATTGTTGGCGATTTCTTTATAGACATTTACAAACCACTTTATCCAAATATTGCATTCTTTTCGTATTGTACTGGGGAAAAATATTCCCTAATGAAACCATTTCTCGGTTGACGGTTAATGAATTTTGAAGGCTTTTTCACGCATAATAGCTCATTATTTACGCATCAAAACAAACAAGTAACATTAAAAGTAACAGTCTGTGTCATCATAAGGTCATATACCAACTACGTCCTCTTTTCACCACGTTCGAATTCACCACGTATTGCTACAGCTCAGAAGATTACCTGAGAAGGAGATTTCTGGTGGTATTAAAATGTGCATATATTGAAGTGAATGTTTAAGAAGTAAAAGAAGTTCGTGTTCACGCGACGAGTTAGCGTTGAATGTACTTGCATTACACACTGAACTTATGCAGCACGCTAACGTCTCGGTGGTGCTTCCTTCAGGCGCAGTTGTGAATATCGATGAACCGGCTGAGAACGTTGACGCTATCCTTGCAAAGGTTCAAAGATTTTGCATTAATACCCATTCATTTATGTATGTCGCTATTGCACTGAAAAGCGGTAACACAACTGGTAAAATTCGTTACTTCATGATACGACAACCCAAAGAAACGATGCTTCTGAAGTGAACAAAACCTTCTTCAGCAGAATGATATTCACTAAGTAAATTGACGTTGAGGTATGCAAGGAATTGGGTTTATCTGCTGATAAACATTGTATTCTACGCGAAGGTCGACATCGAGTTAGATTGGTTCAATGTGAATATCGTATCGAAAAAATTGGTCGCAGCCTTGGACTGACGATTTGTGCAAGACAGACTGATGGGACTGTTAAGGTTACTGAATTAGTTATTAGCAGTTTTTTATTCTAAACTGCTCTCTGACAAGCATATAATGTAGCCTTTCCATCAAATTCGTTGTTTTCATTGGAGTATGTGATGAGATGCACTGTATTAATGAAACGCTAGATGATAAACACGACTATAAATTGCATTCATCAATAATTTTCAACATTTTTAGAGTTAAAGTAATTTTTGACGAAATTTGGTATTGTGTTGAAGAAATCTTCTCCATTAAGGCTGAAGTACGTGCAGTTCGTGACGGAACAACAGCAGTCGAAGTTGGTGATAAAGTGATCAGTGTTGATGATCGACCAATCGATCAGTTGAAAACTGCTGAAGAAGTTGAAGCCTTGTTACAGTCAGCTAGTTCGCTCGTACTACGCCGTTCAAAATTTCAACAAACAAAAATAAACACAAATATAAACGATGACAATAAATGCCATACTGCAATTGCAAAGAAAGCATCAAGTATGGATCGTATCTCTGAACCACCGACCTCAGCTATTCTTCACAATGTTAGCGATTTTATAAGAAATCGCTATGATCGCTCATTTCCTCATTGCTTCCAATCTATTTATGCTTTGTACGAGACGAATTCAAATGAGAAATTTTAATATCTAATTCATAACGATAACACTCTTATAATAATGACGATTCCAGGAAATGAGATTGGTTACCACTAATCGCCTAATATATATATATATATATATATGATCAAAAAAATATATTCAGTTGTATTCAAAGTTATCTGTTATTTTTAAAAAGTAACAAACATTAACCCCAAAATCTGTTCGTTGAATTGTTGTTGACTATTCTCTAAAGAATTGGCAGGCTGAAAGTACACGATCTTCGCCGTCAAGAAATTCAAATGTGAATCTAACGAAGAACGTAAACGTGATGTCACATTCGGCGTGCGAACGTATCTCACGAGCTGATACGAAACGACACAGCCCTGTGGACGTCAGCTTGAATGCAATTCATTTTAGTACCAGTGCTGAGGAACAACTCTTTAAAACGATCAACGAGTTGGTTAACACCGAAAAAAATTTTGTCAAAGATGTTCAGAAGGTTATTGCTGCAGAATTTCTCGAATCAATCGTTTTCAATCTACTTTATTCGTTTGCTGTCCATCTGCTACCTCACTAGTCCAGTTTTTACATTTACTGAAAAGGTGTCCCCATTAAAAACTTTTGAAACTTCTAAGTTAATTTTTTGACATTTTCTTACTGAAATAGAATGTTAAACAGTGTAATGGAATATGATTCAAATTTTTCCTCTTTCCCTCATTCTAGAAGCACAACATTTCGTCATTCATTGCATGATAGTTCCATTTGGTGATAGATCTCGAATCTTCGACATTACTGAGGTTTACAAAGACAATTCGATTCGTTTATTTGGGCCAATTTTCGAAAAAGCAAAGTTTCATTGATTTTCTCAGAAGATTGATTCGTTCGTCCAAAATAAGTCATTAACATTGAGCAAGCGTTTGTCTAAGATGCAGAAAACCCGAATATTTCGAGTAAGCTTCATTTTATCCTCTATTCATCACATTGCCTCTAGCTCCTAATGTCTTTACAAACACTTCGTTTTGTTGATGTTCACCAGTGGTCTTCAGTTGGTTGCGCAATATCTGAAACCGTTGAATCTAACTATTTTGGAAACTGCCGATCGACTCTTACGAATTCAATCGTCATTTTTGTGTTCACTTCTGGATGCTGCGGGTGACGTTGTTCATTCTCCATCTACTTCACAGCAACAGTTAAGAGTGCGTTGATTGACCTCATTCGGAAGTTTTTGATTGTTTGTTTTGTGTCCTTTCTAAAATGCTGTCAATTCCCCTGCAACAAACATTCTCAAATTCAAAAGTCGTATTGATGTTTTATTCAGTTTCCAATCCCTATGAAACAGGGGATGTTCAATTCATTAGAAGCTTTACTTCATATGTGAAAAATCGCATTCAAAAGAAATGCACGTTTTTGTTCAGAAACATTTTTAGCACTTGATGACCACCCACGGTGCATGTTTAAAACTTTATATTCTTCATATAATTATGCAATCATTTTTTCATGAACATCACAATGCGTGGAGACTAGTGTTGTGCGAGGAGTCCTCGCATTCGGGGTCACCGTACCCGAACCCCCGTCCTCGACCTTTCTGTAGCCGCGGCCATTTTCGGGGACCATCCCCGACCCCGAAATGTCCTCGATTTCTCCAGAATTGTCGGCGCTCCCTGAGATTCCCCGGAAAAACAATTTTATTCGAACCTACCGCGTCTTTGCGAGCGATTCGAAATTGGACATTTAATCATTGTCCGCATGTTTGCTTTTAAGGCCCCACTACCATCCTGTCTCAGCTCATAACATTACGTGATTGTCAACGAATTGAGGGGCGCTGCAACGAATTTTTCTTTTTTTTCATCTGTTTTCACCCAAGTTTCTTCCGTTTTCTCCTTTACTTTTGAACTTGTTGACTGTTATCGAACGTGTTGGTTGTTTTCACGCATGCCTATTAATTATTTGCACGCATTGACGAATCATGAATCCGTGTGTTAATTCTTTCTCAAGATTGAGATAAGTGTGCTACTGTCAGTTTTATTGCTAACATCGGTGCTGTTTTATTGCTATTTTTATCATCCTTTTCACTGCTAATATTTGAATGAAATACTGTAGATAGAATTGCATTGTGCCTTCGCAGTTATCGCTTTCCTAGTCTAAAGATTACTTATTTCAATGCCATCAAAAAAGCATGTTTTCAAGGTCCTGCTGACTCTGGTTCCAAAGCTACATCTTCGGGGAATCGAGGACGGGGATGAGATTGTGTTTTCTCCCCGAAACTCCTCGTCCCCAAGTTCCCGTCTCCGACCATTTCGAGCCGCGGCCATTTTCGGGGACTGTCCCCGTTCCTGAATGGTCCCCGATTCTCGCCGTGCACGGCTTTTTTTCCTCCTCGCACAACACTAGTGGAGACTACAGACTACATGCACATTGCTTTCCAAAATCTAATATGATGAGAATTTAAAAAGACCTACGCTTTTACAGGACTCACTGATTCGTATATCAGCATTATTTGTTAACAAATGTAGCAAATTCAAAATATATAGCGAATATTCAGCCGCATATCTTCGATTTCAACAGAACGAGAAAGGTTACGATCATTTCGAAAAAGTATTCAAATTGCATAAGTCGTAAACAAGAATGAATTTACATTTATTTATCAAGCGTTACGATTTATTTTTCATTATCTAATGATGTTTCAACAAAAAACAGTCAATAATCAATTCTATTTTCTCGAAAAACATTCACTCAGGAGCATTATATTTATCGAATGTTGCAGAAAAGAATGATATTGAAACGAAATTGGATAAGATGAACGTCAGCGGTGAGCAAAGTGAAAGTGCGCAATCGTTGTTGATAAAGCCAATTCAAAGAGTACTTAAATATCCATTGTTTTTGCAACAAATGTGCGATAATTGTGTATGTGGCTCAGTGGAACGACAACAAGGCGAGCAAGCACTCGCACGAATGCACGCACTTGCTGAGTATGTGAATGAAATGCAGCGACTTAACGAACAATATGGATCTGTCATTGAGGAGATATCATCGAAGAATTCCGCAGTTAGTTGTCGTTCNTCGTTCTAGTACATACCTTCAATTATATTTGCCTGACGAACCGCTAGAAGGTCACTTGTCAAAGCAGCATTTGTGACTTTTAGGCATCGTTTCAAGCTTGCGACTGAGTCCAGATAAAGAATGGAGTGGAAACTTAAGCCAAACTTAACGCTCAGATTAGTGATATCCCTGTTCCAAATAAACTGATCAGCTTCGTAATTTTGTGCTGCCGGAACAGAGCCACTTCAGTTGTTCTGTATTAAAGAACTGCTACAAAAAATGAGAGCGTAGAACGGAATATTTAGAAGGGTGGAACAAGACGGAATATTTGAAAGGACAGAACAGATCACGTGACGTGACATGTGAAATGTGAATAGTGAGGTTACTAGTTCACATGCAAACGAAAAGCTCATACTCAAGTTGCATACCAGAACTTCTCAAGTGAATAGATTTTTTTTTCAAATTTCATAACTGGTAGTTGATGATGATATTCAAGAAATTTCATCCACAATCTGTATGTTTTAATAAGACGCAGGTTAGAGAAACAATCTCGCAGTAAGTATTCGTATTCGTTTACGCCGATGATATGCGTTTTACCGTAATAGAATTAATTAAGCGGAATAAGCGAACAGTTAGTGCTCCGTTCTGATTTCATTCATACGGATGTATCATTGTTGCGTTTCGAGAAAGGAACATATTGAACCAACCATTTCAGTGTGCGAGTATGTATATTCACCAACTAGTGCTCTTCGATGAAGTACAATGAAAGTAATGTGCATTCAAAATATTTGCAAATGCTTCAGATGTTGCGAATGAACTTCAGTCAGTTGCTGATGTTTGCACATGTGAATTGGTTGAACTGCTACGAGAATCGTTCGCGACCGGTCTCATGTGTTGCATTCGTTTTCACCTCTCTCATTCTCATACTTTGCCCGACACTTTACAAAAGCAAGGTTGGCCTTGTATAACCAGTTCTATGACAGCTATTCTCCAGATGACTACCTCTAGACAACTGCATCCTGACAAATGACCCCCGAGAATAACTATCCCCGGTTGCTCACAAAAAATATGTAATAACAACAGTTAGTGAAATAAATAATTATAATACTAATGATGATGACTGTAATAACAAGATATTTATACTAATAATTATTATTGCTGTTGTTCGATTCAATCGCTCGTCAAAATGTATGGAACAAGAAGCAACGAGTCCATGCTGAAGTATGCATGTTTAAGGCACGCGTATACCGTATCCTACCGATCGCAGAGATTGAAGTGAATGAAAGCGATGCAAATTCGACACAGTCTCAATTCCTGTTCGTCCTAATTCATGTCGGTTCTCCACGTGAACCTGTTTATCATTTATGTTGTTGCCAGGCTGAAGTAAAGAATCAATTCATCAAGTCAATACGTAAAGCAGCTGCTTCTCTTACGTCAGTGTTTACTATTGTCTTCAAACCTATTCAGTCCTTTTTACCCAATCGTTTATGCGTGCATGATGTGTTCAATAATGAAAAGAAAATAGATTTGCTTTCATGGAACGGTTTAATAATCAATTTATACTGTTGATCAATTTATACTATCATCAAATTTTCAGTAAGGAACAACGACGTCCTCTCAGTGGTAGTAGTCAATCGGATGGCGGTTACAGTAGTGAGCGTCATCCTCCTTAGGGGGAACGAAGGGATCATCAATAAATGAAGAAAGCTAAAGCCGAATTTGTCATATAAACAATATAATTTGCTCAATTTTATGTGCCCTTTCAGGAGTCTATTATTATTATAATTATAATAATAATTATTATTATAAAATTACAATAATACTAATTATTATTATTGCTATTATATTTATTATTATTAATTATTATTATTGCTATTAGACTCAAACGGACTCCTTTCCAATAAAATTTTTGCAAAATATTTTCTGTGAGCATTTCATATTACCGAGTACCTAATTCAAAGTATTTTTCATTCTTCATGTAAATAAAGGAATTTTTGTTTATGAAACCGATTAAGGTTCGATGAACAAGTTAAAATCACCGACACTCATCAACAAAAAATGGATGTATGTCTTCGAAATGAGATTTCACTTAGTGGTAAATGAGTGCTCACTATTAGATTAACTCCATTACATTTGTAAGATGTGAATAGATTTATCAACGAAACACAATCACGATTATAAACAAAATCAACGAATATCAATCAGATTTGATTCGTACAATCAGTGATCTAATTTAGAAGGTTTGACTTGTAAGTCAACTCAAATAACGTACGGCAGTCATCACAATGTCATTGATGAATAAAGATGCAGAAATGAAGGAGCCTTGATAAGATGAAGAAGCGATAGTCTAATATAATAGAAGTAATATAATGTAATATTTGGAACAACCATCGACGAACAATAACGACTTGTAATTGCGAAAGCAAATCAAATTGAGCACATCTTTTGATTGCCAGTTGATATTATAAATTGTGTAACGCACATAATGCACATCAAACAAACACAATAACATCAAGCATCTAAATCATATTTCGTTTCTATTCACTACTGTAAACATCTAATCGTCACTTACTAAATTTGCTCCTGATGCTCCTTCTCATGCTTTCAATATCTGTTCATTGCAATGTTTTCATTTCATACTTTTAGGCTACTAAACTTTGCGCACATGAATTACGATGGTCTGTAAATATGCAAAATTGATATTTCTTTATACTCGATTCTGACCCGGATACTACAAATAAATTCAAGATTTCCTGGAGATGAAAACATGCATGAAACAATAGCCTAGCTATTAGTGAATCAGCCAAGCAAACAGTCAATCACAACTTCACGCATTCACAATCAGTGCTGAACGAATGATCATAAAGGTGAGTAAATGTTCTATTCACTGTTAACGATAACAGTTTTCGAGATCAATTTCAGTCATCCCTCGTTCGCTTCTCACGAAACTTTTTAGTTAATCGCTTCCGACTGACAACAATTATCATATCAGTTTAACAAAAAACCAAACAAATCGAGACAAGCGGTGTTTCACCCGCACCCGTGCAATCGTGTTACTTCTCAAACAAATCAACTGCTAGCCATAGTATCTAGGCTGCTAACTCAAGCTGTTTAGTGCTTAGTACTATGCGCGCACAAATAAACCAAATCGCAAGGACTGACCACGCCTCTGGTGTTTAGCGGTTGTATTTTTATCTTATCATCACCTTACTTAGCGATGTTGCTACTGATTTGTTGATGTGCTGGTTGTTGTTACAGATGATATTGCTTTGGTGCAGTCATCACCTGCATCTCTTCTTATGGCAATGATGACCAATTAATAAATGGATGAACTGCAACTACCGTACAGAATGCAGTTGACAACAATCAAAAATTCATCATTACGAGATCTGAATGAACGTTTCGATGAACAGTTATCGAAACCACAACTTTCGTATATTGGTCTCATTGCAATGGCAATTCTCAGTTCAAGTGAAAAGAAGATGATTCTATCTGAAGTATATCAATGGATTATTGACAATTATCCGTACTTTCGAAACAGGGGTCCTGGATGGCGGAATTCAATACGCCACAATCTGAGCCTTAATGACTGCTTCATAAAGGCTGGAAGGTCAACCAATGGCAAGGTAATAAGTTACTATCGCTTCTTTTTCTTCCTCTCTTTTCTTCCTTCACAACAACCTATCAGACTGATTCAACTGTCATTTGTTATCTTTTTTCCTTAGAACTCTCGTGGGTACGAACAACATACCCAGAAATGCAGCATTGTCCGCACTTCCGTCGGTATATTAACCACACCAAACAGTGTTATGTATGCGATGCTTGTCTATTTTATGAACATTACAAGCACAACCATTAGTGGAAATTAGGCTTTACACAATCCCGACGTTTTTTCAATTCCGGGATCGGCATTTAATCCCGAGGTCGATTTTCGGTCCCGGGATTATTCCGGGATCGAACAACTTTCGAAATATTGATGCGTGACGTGTTTAAACGCATTTTTAAAACCAATATAATCATAATTAATCAGAAAATAGTTTATTCAGCAAAATATTCAACAAATACAACGTATTCAACAAATCATTTGAATTCGAATCAACCACGTAACAATTAGTACTCGTATTACTCAACAAATTATTTAACGAATTATTTAATGATATGAAGCATATAATTCAATGCAATTAACAAATAATTCAGTGCAGTTGTTCAGCGATCATTCAACAATTATTATTCAACATATAATTCAGTGCTGTTTGAAATAAGCTCTGAGAAACGTGAGTGCATTGATAGTTCCATTGCTCATTCGCGTTCTCAGTTTTGAACAAAAAAAGGAAAACGTTGAGAAAGTGCGGTCACTTCCGACACTCGTTGCTGAGATCGTTTTGATAGACTCGTACAATTTTTTCATATTCGATGCCGTTTTCTTTGTCCATTCGCACAAACGCATTTCAGAGATTACTCTGCTNTTCACGTTATTGCTTCTTTTACAGCTTTCACACCTTTCGGAAGTTTCAAGATTCAGTATCAATTCTATCTTCCTTGAGAGAGGTACATCATAGTCATTCGTATTCTGAGAAGAGTTTGTTGTTATCGATGAGATTGACGCAGCGTCATCATTTTGTTCTCTCTTCGTATCGAACAGTCTCGAATATAAATCCACCATCAGCTTCACAATATTTTCTCTCTCAATCGCATACCCCATACAATCTGTTCCCGTCTGCACGTAATCAGGATCATTCATACATCTCATCAAGTGCATCAGAATTGGTATTCTACGCTCGTTGATCCTTACCACAAGCGCACGCAAAAGGTCATTAGCGATATTCGTTGTAACATTTCTAGACTCTTGATCGTTGAATCGTTTCAATCTCAAACTTAGGTAATTAAACCAATCAATGCAATAGTAACACTCATAATAACGAACATAACGACAATAATATAACAATAATAATTAATAATAATCAATAATCATAATAACGATAATAATAATACAATTGATTCAGTTATAAATAATGACAATAATAATAATGACAATAATAATAATAATAATAAGGAACAATGACAGTAATAATAATAGCTATAATAATGATGACATTCATAATAACAATAATCAACTTTCTCAATTTCAAGCATAATGATTAGTATTCCTTCATAATTCTTCGCAATGATATTGCCTGTAATGAACTGATGCAAAAAATAAGCTGGTGACCAGTTTACTTTATAGGTGATGAATGATTTGCCCTTATGATGTACATTATCTTACATTGGTTTTTATTTATATTTATTCATAAACTCTTATGATGGCTTATATTTTGATCCCCTTCTTATCATATTAGTTATCTCACCTTTTGCATTGTCTACTAAGACTTTCATGGGAACGTCTAAGTTTTATGAATGACTACTTTAAATTCTTTTCGTGATTCTCTAATCGCGACATTCGTATTCACTTTCTTCAATGCATCAATGGAGAACTCCAGCGTTTTATCTGCTTTGAAAAAATCGATATCTCGACGACACAATGGGTCCGTAGCAATTTCGAAAACTCCCAGTGCATTGCATAAGTCTGTCATTTCATTCCGATCGTTCTTACTAAATTCGTATGGGAGTTATAGATCGACAAGGGTCTGCTCAATCTCATCAGAGCATTTTACAGATTTTTTCAACATCGTGTTCAAAAAAGGGTGATACACATTTTACTTCATCTGAATGATTTGGCAATGATTAATGCGTGATTCGAGATGAATTTTTTGGCCAAAATCTTACGAAATGACTTGCTTCATCAGATCCCGAGATCCCGGGATTGGGATCAGAACTCAAATCTCGGGATCACGGGATCCCGTGCAAACCCTAATGAAGATTCTTTGTAAAACATCGATTGAGAAGCACTCAGCGATTGTATCATATTAATGATTTAACAACATTTCTCGAGACAATCCATTTCCATCGTGGATTTTACTGACAGATCAAACTCTCTGAATCCTAATTATGCGTTTACACCGAATAAGTTGCTGTTCGTTGATAATGAGCTACTGTTTAGTAAGGAGCATATAACTTTTAATTATCATTCAACAACGATCCCATCGCCTCAGTAATAAAATATGCTTGATTTATCTCGATGCGACTTGTGAACTTTGTTTCTTCAGTCAGTGATAATTCTTACACAACAATTCGATCGATCAAAATTTCCAGTGTTCACGCTTTAATGGTATATGGCATTGAACGTAACCCTAAACTATTTATGCGAAAAATTTGTTGGTTTGAGGTGGCTGAATGATGATTTAAGACAATATTTTGAAATTATCGAGTTAGTGCATCACTGCGAGTTGGCATACAGCACATCAAGAATAATGAAGCGTTATGAATAAGAAAACAAATAAACCGACTGTATTGAAGTGAGAATTTAGATGCTTGACACAGCGATATTTGAATCTTTTGAAACGATCTGAAAGTGAGGCTAGAAAATTAATCAAAGCAATCATGGAAGTGCAGTAGTGATGCTGATAATAACCATAATAAAAGTGATGATTATTTTGAAGAGTTTTGACGTTTGTATGAAGTATGTCACTTTCAATTACACCATTCATATATAATGTTATAGTGTACAACGAATATGCGTGTGCAGACGCCTATTCATGCAGGTATACTATAAATCAGCCATTGGCAACCCACGGCGCGCGGGCCAAAATTGACCCGTCTTCAATGATATTTGGTCCGCCAGATGAAATTGTGAATTTGATTTTAAAGGGGTGAAAAATAAAGAAATAAGGTTCAAATTATTGGCTACTACACTGAAAATTTTCGACACAGAATTTCCTAATAGACGACTAATTGTGTCGCTGGCACCTGCATTTTCTCTTCATTAATGCGTTAGCGATGTATAAACAGTTGAGTTAGTTTGATAATTAGTGGCCGCTTTTTTTAGTTTTATTGCTTACTTTATCAAACGAGCACAAATATTAATTTATTATTTTTGAAGCACCTTACCTAATTGAATGCTCATAAATTCTTTGATTGCATTTCAATTGATACTTAGACCAAGCGCGACCAACCTGCGACCCACAAACACTTCGAATATAGCTTTCAACGTTTTCTACAAGGTGACTTAGATGCAGCTCAAGCAGATGCCAAGTTTAGCCCTCGAGGTATTCAAAACCATCGCGAGCTATATTTGATTTAACATTTTTTTGCTTGCCTCTATTTATTAAGGCCATTTTATAAGTTTCATTAAGAAGTGCAAAAGAATGAAGGCGTTCGCCGTAAAGGATCACATAAGGGAAGCTTTAAGAAGATTTTGCAAGGAAAAAAAGCTGACTAATTGGTATTATTAAAGTCTATTACAACTCGTTATTTTGAAGTATTTTTTATGGCCCACGAACTTTCCTGCCACCAAAATCTGACCAACGAACGCCTCCGAGTTGGCTTGGTACAACTTAGACAACCAACTGCATGTGACTGCTTTTAACCGCTATGAACTCTTTCGAGCCTTACTATTAGATCTATTGTTCTATTGAAGAAATTAAATTACTGAATTGAAGGAATCGTTAAATATCGTTTTTGTCAATGAAATTACACCTTTCAAAATCCTCACAGCAAAAAATCTCTTTCCAAAAGAAACTGCATAGCTTCCAAGTGTGATTGCTTAAGCGGAAGTCAATTCTGCAGAAATCTTTGAATAACTTCCTAGTGAAAGATTTTATCGAAAGAGACTGTGCTGTTTATTTATGATTGCGCAGTTCATTATATCACTGTGGAATATCATATCGGTATCGTTCGAGTGGAAAAGTTTAGATCAGACTTTTCAACCAGGTGGTGATAGCTAACACTTCATTTTTTATATATTAAAGTAGGCGATTGACGAGTTCAGCGCATACATCTGTGTAAAGACGGCGAAGGTGGACTTTAACGTTTATATTTTCGAAAAGGTTTCATGCATCGATGAAAATTCATCGTGAGTTCATGCAACTATTAATTTTTTTGCAATATTTTTTCTTTACCAAATGATTATTTTTTATGTCATTAAAAATAAATCATAAAAATTCTTTCAGTCGCGTTTATTTTTACTCTTAAATAAACTATTGTTGCGAGAGGTAGGAGGACGTTTTAAAAATTTTTTAGGGAGTATGGACGAACAATCTTTTGGAACAACGTACTGAAAAGCAATCTTTTCAGTGCGCTCAAAAATATGCACTTCTCTAGGACACCACATTCATAACCGAGGGCAGGTTTTTTCGAACGAAAAGCGTTAGAAATTTCACTAGAGCGATAGTGTGGTTCGTTTGAAGATATCATAGAAAAAAATTCCCTTCTGCGATGAAAATTTGCAAATCTGTTTGCTGTTGCATACGAATTTTCAGAACTCGTAACGTGCTCCAGAACATACGAGTTTCTGCTGGAGTATGTATGAAGTGTGAAAAAGTTTGCACACTACGGCCGCTGAGATGGCGAAAACATATTAGATAAAGACAGACGATGAATATTAAAGCAGCGCAATTTCCGTAGCGAAAATTGGCGCTGGTCAGACCGAGTTTGAACATACGAAGCAGAATATAATTTTGGACAAATGAATATCTCATCTATGAGACAAAAGTTAAACTTTTACGAGTAGCTGCTGGCGGATTCGATCCAAAAATGTTAGATCCCAATCTCAGTTGCAACCACAATATTATAAAATGTCAATTTAACGACCACTCAACACTAGTGTGGTTTGGTTGACGAGGATACCGTCCCAGCAGTCCCTGACTGTTTTCAAAGCGATGACATTTTCAGGGTACCCGAGATGAGATTTCATTATCGCCTTACTGTGTCCCCAACTTTGTTTCAAATTTGTCGGAGTTCCTCGTAAACTTTTGGGCATTTTCAGGGAATTCTTTGAAAATTAGAGTCTAGCGCCCTGTGATGATAGGCATTCAATATCACTGCAGACATTTCCGTTCATCACTACGATGACGTGGAGTGCTCATGTACACGTATTACGCATTTTATGTCTCTTTAGGATTGCCTACACTCGACAAATTGTCTCGTTAACAATGGATATCGTTAAGATCGGATACAGAAAGAGTCGCCTCTAAAACTTTCGCCCCCCCCCCCCCCTCTCCAACTCTCTAGCCCATGTTCTGTTTCCAGAGATATTTCGCCCTATATAAGTTATTGCACTTTTGCAAAATACTTGTCGTCCATCATTTTATGAAATTTATTATATTTCGTTCATTCACATTTGCTTATCGTCATGCTTCCCTCGAAAACTTTTAGTTGCAAATAAACCTCATGTATAGATGTCATGTGGCTATGGCATGGCATGTGCATACAGTCAAACTAAGTTACTTTCCACGTGAAAAAATTTAATTTGTATCCATCGTTGCTTTTTACACACACGTCATTCAGCAATCTGTTTTTCAATGAAATGATGTTATATGTAGGTATGAATAATGCAAGCGTCAGTGGTAAATTCAAATGTGAATTTTTTAAGGATGGAATTCCAGAGATGAAAAGCTGCTGGCGAACTCTCCATAAACCAGCTGTGGTCAGCGTGAAACCTAAACACACAGTATAATCTCAGACATATGTCTGTCTCACCTTAATTCTCGGCTCGCGCTCAAATTTGTTCTGCATCCCTGCTTCCCATCTCCTCCCCCCCCCCCCCCCCCCCCCCCCCCCATTCATCTGCCATTAACAATAAGTTGCACATTTCCGAGGATATGCTTTCGGGATTATATGATATGTTAGTGAGTTACTATAAATAAAAAATGCTGACCGTTAGGTGTTAGGGATCCGAAAACTGAAACAAGTGGGTAAAATTTCTAGACTTTCGAAGCTAAGATGAGAATATTCCATGGATAAAGTGAGTTGTTATTTGCTGCGGAACGCACTTTGAGCTATGGAAATTGAAACTGGAAAGGTACAGGTTGCCAGTGAAGGGGGAGGGAATGTATTTGAGGACGGTTGTGGAGTGGAGCTGAGGTATATATTTGGGATTATACGGTATTGTTATAAGAACCGCATTATGTATTTGCCATATCTCTATTCTGTGCTGCTCATTCCATTATCTGGACGCTGTCCCAACTCATATTTCTGTTCCTAAGTTTTCGTTGACTCCAGTTCCAACGTTACATTTTCGAGGAAATTTCGAGAATCAGAGAGGGTGACGCAAAACAGATGGCATTTCATTCCAGAATTCTCCGTTCTCGACTTTCTTTTCAAAGCAGTAAGATTTTTGGGGACCTCGACTAGGAATTTCATCCACGACTTTCCCTATCTCTGTTTACTCTCCGCCTCCATAACACACTAGTTAACGCTGATCGAAATGGGAAGCAGTTCAGAACTTGTGGATTTTCTTATAAGTGTATGGGTAGAAGCGACAAAGAACGTAATTTTACGCATGACCGGGAATGTTTTATTCGAAACTCGAATTTTGCAGTTCGTAGAGCACTCGCAAGAAATGTAGTATTCAGCGATACGATGACAAAGAGACTAAAAGTAATATACAGACAGCTTTGATGTTCGTCAACTTCCTTTCTATTCGATTTATCCATTTTTGCTCAGATTGATAAACTAATTCCAGTCATTTTGTGATCACAGTTTGTACAGTTAGATTCATTTTCAGTGGTGATAGATAATTCTTGAATAATTGTTCGCTTCTATTAGCCAAACAATAGAAAGCGCACGGTTACATTCAAACTGGAAATTCATTTATGAACATCTTTTGACCAATGTTTTTTGCGATGAAGAGCATGCTTTCTCAAAATTTTGATCTTGTCATTCCAAGTTCCCTATTCTTGTATTTTTGAAACGATATCATGGAAATGGTCGATAATCTTTATCAGTTTTCATCCATTCTACATCATCACCGATACATTAAACTTTCCAGTTTCCAACTAACTGCTGATGTACTACTTTAATAATCAGATTCGAACGTTTCCGAGACTCTTTGGTTTGAATGTTCTCTTAAAATCGGATTTAACTCCACTGGAGAGCATTCAGGAGAAAACAGCGATTGTTATTTTGTTTTCTTAGCGACAAATGAGTCCAATTGAATTCTTACAGACTAGAATTTTTGATTATGTAAGTAGGAAAATAAATACTAATTTCAGCGGTTTGACAAACAATGAAGTGTTACTTAGTTGCTTCGCATAAGAGAAACGGTTCAAGGAACCCAAGCATATTTGTAGGGACATTACTGGGCGATTCATCCGGCCAATTTTGAGGATTTCGTGAAAGGTGATTTTCGAAGACGACGAGCGCAAAGAAAGGTCAATCAATCACTATCTAAGAAATGCACAGTTATTCATTGAATTTTATTCAAGTTGGAAGATTTTTCATTTGAACCACTGAAATGTGATCAAAGATATTTCTTGTACGATATTTGGATCATACACACGTCAATTCATTACAGGTTCGTCGACACATGGGACTATCAGTGAACGAAGATGAATGTTCGGATGACAGTCCAATCACTTCGCCAGCACCATTCAGTGTCGAATCAATATTACAACCGGATAAAACGCCTCGTTGGTTGGCACCAGTAATCCCAAACGTTGTGCCGATCGCTTTTCCTTTTCACCTTTTCACCGCTCATTATTAATGTTGTGAATTGCAGATTCCAGTCAGCGTTGAATTTCAACAAAAAACACATTACAACCTGATGCACTTGCTACCTTCTGTATTTTCAACCCTAATGACCTTTACAAAATCGATGATGATAATAACAAATATAATGATAATGAAGACAATGATAAATATAATAATAATATTAATAATAATAATAATAATATGGTAATAATGATAGTAATAATAATAATAATAATAATAATAATAATAATAATAAATATTATAATAATAAATATGGTAACAAATATAATAATAGGTGTAATGTTAAATAATGATAATAATAAGAATAGTAATAAATAACAGTAATAATGATGATAATGAATATACTGATGTATAATAATAAATAATAATAGTAATAAATAATAATAGTAATAGTAACAGTAATAGCAACAGTAGTAACAATGATATGAAAATGATAAGTGTTATTGTAATTATAATCAGAATTATAATAATGGCACGGTCTCACTTTTATAAACTGCATTCGCCAATTTCATGATAACTGATAAGCTCAATGTTGCAACTGTAGCGTATCATGTAAGTATTTTTACCGGTCACAGTGTTTGATACAACATTCGAAATGCATCATTGACATGTATCCTGCAGGAAGAGCAATTATCATGTGGCTTGCAATGACAGTTGTCAATTTGATTTACGGATTTGATTCATGACTTCAGTTCTGCAGCTGTTCAGTTTGAAGTACTCATTTTTTCGTATCACAACTTTCGAAAGATTATGATCATTTGTTAGCAATAGCGCTCTCCAGAACAAACAAATTGCAATCAATTTGATACAACCAACCATTTTCGATGTGAAATATTCACGCAACGGCTGCGCTTCTTGGTTCATACTGTTTGTTTGCTAAGCGATTCATGAAGCGGAAGCCATATTATTCTGTTACGTACGAATGATGCTTACTTACTATGTGTGCACAAACTCTCGAATGCGAAATAAAACTTGATGTTGTCGTGTTACTTATATGCTCGAAGGAGTATCACGGTTTTGATTGCTGATAACAATTTCACACCTTTTCGGTTGTCCAGAACAGGATTCTTAGCATTCTGATTTTCCAATAATCGCGTCATTCAACATGAAGTATATTGATTGGGTTGAAAGAACGCAGTCCAATCATGAACAAATGCTTATTTTTTTAGCATCTTTCTGATGGGTAGCTTTATTGATTTGGTCTTATTAGGGGCTAACAACGAACAGTACGAATGAAATGCTTGCTGAAAGCGCTCAAAAATGCATTTTCATTGTATTACGCTGCAAATATTTTGTTGACTTTTTGTTTATTATCATTCAATCCAATCAGAATAATGATGAATAGCGATTCTGTTGTCTTTCATTTTGTTAAACTGATTCATTTGATTGCCTTATGGGTGTGGGTAAAATGCTGCAATTGACATCTCGACCCCACATTCGCTAACTGAAAAAATGACTGATCGAAAAAGAATGTTCACTTAAACACTAAAGTATCTATTAGTTCCTTGCATCCATCGTTCGATGAGCAATTGCGAAATTCACTGTTCTAAACATTCATCTGTGTTTTGTTGCGATGTACGAATTTTTGCTTCCGATTTTACGTCCACCAATAAATTCAGTTATGGTCTTCACTTATCGAGCATTTCAATATGTACCAATTAAATGCTTTGATGACGTAAAACCTCAAATCGTTGCACTTAATTGAATGACTTACGCACAGTATTTTTGGAAGTCATTCGAGTGCGAAAAATTATTGAATACGAAAGTGATGCATGTCTGATTTAATTAATTGGATAGTGTTATTTATTGGTTGTTTTATTTGTCGGAATGCTGACCGCTTTGTAAATTACCTCATATTAAGTGACACTTACGCACGACTAATACTTTCTTTAGATTGCTTTTTGACGCTGCAAGACAATTTTTAATCGTTTCATCTTGTGAAAATTCTTTCACGATCAATTGGTTGAAGAGGTGAGTTGGAAGTGTTGCGATAATACAGCGTTCTTAAGTGATCTAGACTTAAAATCTTTTACATCAAATGTTTGATTCGAAATCAATTGAATGAAGGCAATTTCATAGTCCGTACAAGCCACGGCTGTTGCAGCTGTGAGCAGAGGGCTTATCTAAGTCAGCAAAAAATTTTTTNTTTTTTCAAGTGGTATTTTGAAAAACATTGAAGCATGATTTAGTGATGCTTTATGCAGACGGTGATTCAGTAGTTGTAAATTCAGAATTGGTATGTTACATATGAATTATGCTAATGCTACGCCGAAAAAAATTTTAAAAAATGCTAATTACAAATAAACTGTCAGTGAAGAGCACTCAAAAATTTAGCATAAAGCGGAGAAAACAGGCATCTAACAATGCGCTGAGGATGGTAATCGTTTATAATTTTCAATGATAATAGTTGAGAATGGTTTATGGTTATTTGATGGACTATTTTCAATTATCATTGTAAGAGAATGTCATGGTGATTATTTGTGGTGTGAAACGAGAACGAATCAGTGTGAAAATTAGAGGAGAATTGGTGATCAGGTGAATGATGTATATTTATCAACAATTCAGCAATCAATAAAAATATCGTGGTTTGAATGGAAGGAGGAGCAGAGCTTGAGCCTTACTGCTTGAAGCCGTTGGCTGTATAAGTGATCTGTGAATGAGGGTGTTTAATGATTGACAAGCCGAAGATGATAATAAGCACTCGGTTGAGTTGGATGAGGTAAATATACAAATACACACATTAGCTCAATGGACAATCCACAGAAACAGTTGCTCGACTCACTTTCAAGAACGCAAGAAATTATTCGTACTTCACATAACGCCATACAAATCAACTCCAATAAGGTATTTTTTGTAATCGATTGAAGTATCGATTCACAGAATCACGGATTCTCAACATTTAGCAGTTCATATTTCTGAAGCTTTCATGTAATTTTACTTCTAACAAATCATTTTTATACTTATTTCTTATTATTGCTCGGAATGTCAACTTTTCACTTGTCTTTTATTAGTTACTGAGAAAAAATAACTGTTGATCTTCGACTCATGTATAGATCACTGAATCAAAATATGGAGTTTGGCTATTATTTATTCACCGGTCAAGGTCTTTGACGTTTCACATACTGATTGTGAGTATTATTGAAGAAGCGCTTACAGTTGAGAATGCAGATCACAACAGCGATGCAAGAAAGCAAGCATTCTAAGTGGGTTGTTCTTTATAGCTAAGCGAATGTTTAAGAAAGAAGGATGTTGTTGGTATCGTGGAAATGTATGATGAAGATATCGAAATGTTGGACATTAATACTCCAGTTTGCAGAGGACTTGAAGGTGAGTTACAACTTCATTTTTATTTCACTGAAGATTTTAAAAATTATTCAATCGGTTAAGGTATTTTGTCTGTGAAATCGCTTGAGAAAAAAGCATTCATTTGCTGCTTGCTGCATGTGATGCATTTAAACACTTATTCGTTAACACGACTGGAATATAACCGATGTCTAGCGAATCTGATTCGAACGATTCAAATTCTATTTAAGCAAGAGTATATCCTTACATTTAATCTTGATCACGGGTATTTGCTCGGAGCAATTTCACGAATCAGATGCCGAAAACGCATCTAATAAATGAGGCAGTGTGTATTCAACATTGGATGACTTTTCAATGAACTACCCGATTAAACTAACAAAAATGCGTAGCAATCGAATGCGTTCGTTGATCATGTGAAACCCTTTCGTTGTTATTCATCAGAACTGTCAACTTTTGATAATAAGTTATCTTCTGAAGTACAACCTCTGGGCTTCTGAGCTGTATATTGAAATCAACTAAACAGATAAGCAATCGTAGACTGATATATCTCGAACATTTTCATCGTAAAATTTCAACATTGAAAAAGTTGAATTCTTCAGCACTTCGACTTTATTATGAAACAATGAAAAAGATGCTTGTGCACATCGAGGAGCGTAAACTAACCGAACTGCATACACTGAGTCCATTCATCATCATCGAACGAGGTCGTTACAGCATAAGAAGGAGTAAAGATAAACTCATCGAAGGAAGGTACATGAGCATGTTGATATAATCTTTGAAACAGTCCTAAATTGTTCTTTGTACCCGTTGTGAACATGCTTCATAAATTCATTCGTTTTGTTGACAGATGAGCGTGCGAAAAAAGATTAAGAAAATCTCTCATTTTCAGGTATTTTGCGTTATGGATTAACAGGACCACGTGGAAGATTATTCAAGAATGTCGAATTCCTCAAACATAAATATTCATTTTATTTGTTTTTCGTTAATTTAAGCTGTTGTAGAACGTTCAATAAATACTTATTTATCAGTCATCTATAATATCACTTAGTATTTATTAACAGTTCAACTACCAAAAGTGAAAGAAGTTGATCAGTGGAAATACGACGAAAGACGAGTGGATATTCGTTGAGATAAAGCGTGGTATATATAGGATGGTTTTATTGTTTGTCATTGATGTTGCGTATCTTCTGGTTGTTAATCTTATTAATGTTATTATTGGGGCAGTTGTGCACAACGAGGAGCGAACGTTTGATTTTTTGTTTCAATTTACTGAGCTTCCTGAATTTAGTTATCAAGAATCGCAGTTTAGCATCATTTGCGTATGCACTCTACGGCATAATAATCAAAAAACATTTTCGCTAATAAAATATTTTCTCAGAAAGGAAAATAGCATTTCGGATTAAAAATCTTATAAGTGGTATTATTGGCGTCACATTGCTGAGTAGAATCAAGTAAATATGCGTTGATGTTTGTATATTCATGTAACAGTTCTTATGCTCTCGAACACAAAAACGGATTTATTGTGCATTCAATCCGCAACTCGTATTCGACATGTTGATGTCTGTTGCCGTCTCTAAATGGAATGACATTCTTGGAGCGTTACTCAAATAAGATTTTTCTAAATCATAGCTAGTAACTGATGCTTGACTCGACCAATTAATTTGATTTTTAATAGTAATGATACAGGAGTAAGGTGTTAAATTAAAAGGTTTTAGTTGATACAATCTAAATGGAATGACATTTTCGGATTAAAAAACTTATAAGTTTGTGATACGCGGTTGATGTGAATGAGGAGGAAAACGATGGAGTAGGTGATTGCAGGAGATGATGAATATCCTGTTGCTGTTCAACAACGAACAGAAGAAACCCTTGAAGTGTTAACCTAGTGATGTATGTTATTTATTGTTTTTTGAAATTCGAAATTCGTGGAAGCAGACTGATACATTTGAGTTCTGATGTTATTGATGTTGCTTTTATCACATCTATCGGGCATGCACTCTAGAAAACCGGATTTTAAAACATTCAACCACGATACATACGTTCGCAATTTCGCATTCAC